ATGTAATTACTGAGTGGTCGTGCGGTGTTTTTTTTTATTATATTTTCATTATATATTCATATAATAAAATTTATATATTTAAATATATAATAAAAATATTTTTTTATCATGTTTTCATTATATATTTTTTTATCATATTTTCATTATATATTTATATATATAAATTTATAAAATTTATTTTTTTATTATATTTTCATTATATATTTATATATATTGCATATTTTATTATGATATAATAAATATATCATAAATATATATTTTGATTATAATCAAAATATAATCAAAATATAATTTATATATAATAAAAATAAATATATAAAGCTCAAACCAAAGGATGCCTTTGGTGATTTGGTTACTCGCCCCAAAATTGATCATTTCCACGGTGTAACAAATCAATACCAAAAGATGAATCAGGAATCATCTTCATATGACCAAACAGGATATACAGTAGATAAGGTTACGAGAACTTGATAAACATTTTTTGAAACATGCGACCTGAGATTTGCATCAATCTCAGGAGCTTGTGCGTGGATCTGCGAGATCCACAAATGTTATGTAAATTGTGAAAATCCGCACAGCAAATGTGAGCTCATATAAAGCGTGCCTCAAGCACCCAAAGTATATTGTCCCTCAATCATTTTTTTTTTTTGCCACTCCGTCTTTTTTGGTCAATCATGCCGCTCACACCTCAACAAAATCCAAGCCAACCAGTATGTGCTGGGATGATATCTTTCCTGGTGGCATCACCCACTTCCACAGCGGCCAAATTGCAACATCCACATCAGTCACCTGTGTTCTTGAAAGTCTGTGATGATGGCCGTGGAACACCGGAAATCACATTATATCTCCCAAGTGGTCATTCATTGGGGTATGTCCCTGCAGGAGTTGATAGTTGTCTATTGAAGCTGCTTGGAAGTACTCCACGTACATATAAATCTGAACCTGCCGGTGGATGGAAGTCTAATACTTATTTGGAACCAAGTCACCCAGTTCTCATCAGCTCTACTGTCAACACAACTATTGTAGAATGTCATGGACTTGATGCCACTCAATTGTAAGTCAAAGTACTTATATTTATACCAAATTGGTATCAAGCAACCCTTGTGAAGATTGTCAAGACTTTCCAGATCAAACTCCAGCGTCCTACTCATTACCAACCTCACCAACATCAACATATTCCTCTGGTGGATCTAGAAGCACGTACAACCCCCAACTGGAGTTCTGCTTTTCCTGATCATATTTTGACCAGCCAAGAGGCCTCAAGACTCGCGTCCATTTCTTGCGGTTCAGATCTTCAGCCTGTTGAACCTTCAGATATAGTTACTTCTCAGCTGCACCCCCATCAAAAGCAGGGTCTGGCATTTTTGTTGGACAGAGAAAATCCGGATTCCAAAACTTATCACTCCCTTTGGTTTTATAAATCAATGCCACCCTTCAAC